GGGGTAATCAGGATGGGTGTGTCAGAGGCAGTGTGATTGGCACAGGATAGAGCAGGGTTTAGGGCTGTTGTACATAGGATCGCTATGAGTCGCAAGCGACTCGACGGCACATAACAAAAACAACAACAATAATAAACCACAAAACAAACAAACCAAAAAAAGTTGTTGTTCTTGTATACCACTCTATCAGAACAAACCCATAGCGGGCACGTCAGTGGGTTTTTCAGAGGCAGTAAATCGCACAGGAGATTACTCATCTTCCATGGATTGGCGGTGGATTTGAATCATGTACCTTCGCATTGATAGCCCATTTCCTTATTAATCTCTGAGGAAGTTAGATGTTAATATGCTGTTTTCTTGCAGATATTTTAACAACACAATTACATCCATATGGAAGCAGCACATATGTCCATCAACAGAGGGACAAAATGAGGTATACATATATATGTTGTTGTTGTTGTTGTTATGTGCCGTTGAGTCGCTTACGACTCATAGCGACCATACGTACAACAGCCCTAAACTCGCTCTGTCCTATGCCAATCCCACTGTCTCAGACACTCTCATCCCAATTATCCCAGTCACTGAATCAATCCACCTCATAGAGGGCCTTCCTCTCCTGCGCCGTCCCTCCACCCTCCCAAGCATGATGTCCCTCTCTAAGGACCGGTCTCTCCTCACAACGTGTCCAAAGTATGTTAGACGGAGCCTCAGAATCCTTGCCTCCAAGGAGCCACCTGGTTTAACCCTTTCCAGGACAAATCTGTTTGTTTTCCTAGCAGTCCATGGTATTCTCAATACTCTTCTCCAGCACCACAGCTCAAAGGCATCAATTCTCCTTCTATCCTCCTTGGTCATTGTCCAACTCTCTGATGCATAACAAGTGATTGCCAAGACCATGGCCTGTATCAGACGCACCTTAGTCTCCAGAGAGACACCATTGCTCTTCAGTACTTTGGAGAGGTCCCTAACAGCAGACTTTCCCATGGTAATGCGCCTTTTAATTTCCTGACTGCTGGTGCCAAGACTGTTGACTGTGGAGCCAAGCAAACTAAAGCTGTGTACAATCTCAATCTCTTCACCATCCATCCTGATGCTGCCAATTGGTCCAGTGGTGAGAATCTTTGTCTTCTTGACATTGAGCCTCAATCCATATTGTAGGCTGCAGTCCTTGACACTCTGCAGCAGGTGCTTTAGGTCCTCTTCAGTTTCAGCAAGCAGGGTTGTGTCATCTGCATAACGCAGATTGTTGATAAATCGTCCACCAATCTTGACCCCATATTTCTCCTCATAGAGCCCAGCCTCCCAGATAATCTGTTCTGCATACAGGTTGAAAAGGTATGGAGATAGGATGCATCCCTGGCGTACGCCCTTCCCAATTTTGAACCATACAGTGTTCCCTTGCTCTGTTCTGATGACTGCCTCCTAGTCCAAGTATAGGTTCTGCATTAGAACGATCAAGTGTTCTGGGATTCCCATTCTTCTCAGAGTCAGCCATAGTTTGTTATGATCTACACAGTCAAATGCCTTTGCATAGTCAATGAAACACAGATAGACATTCCTTTGGTATTCCCTGCTTTCAGCCAAGATCCATCTAACATCAGCTACAATATCGCTAGTACCACGACCCCTTCTAAACCCAGCCTGGACTTCTGGTAGTTCTCTGTTGATGTGCTGTTCCAGTCGTTATACACATATACGTATATATACACATATACATATATATACACATATATAATGTAACATAATTTGTCCATAAAGAAAAATGACAGTTCTGATGTTAGAAGTGAATGAACCTCGAAAATGTTAAGATTAGTGTAATATATCAGACGTAAAAGGCCAAATACTTTCTAGTTCCACTTAAATGAAATTTCTAGAACAGGCAGATGCACTGAGACAAAAATTTATTAGTCAAAGTGGAAAGGGAGGAAGAGGAGTTATTGCTAAAGGGTTACATCCATTACTAGTGATGGGAAGCTTTTGATAATGGATAGTGGGGAAAGTAATGTCTCTGAACTGCACACTGGAAGCTGTAAAATTGCACATTTAATACAAAAACATGTAACTTTTTAGACAGCATACATTTATATGAGATATATATATATTTACCACGGTGAATTAAAATAATTTTACATCCATAAACGCAGAAATTAATCGTTCTAGAAAAGAATTCGTTTAAGTTCTACTTTGTGCATGGCTGGACCCTGGTTCTCTTTCACTAAATACAGTCCGGTTCATTCCATATATGTAGCCCTCTACAGCAAAGATCAGCACATACTGAGCCCATCTTCCCAGAAATTGTAGCTTCTACCCTTTTCTCAGAGATTCGTCGCAGCTTCCCCATAGTTTTTGTCCCCACCAATTTCCCCTGTGACATCGGCCCCCTTCACTCCCCACCACCCCTTTTTCACACCGGCCCCATTTCTTCAGTCTCTGATTGCCAAGGGTCCTATTCCCGCCCATCTCAGTCCTCCACCACCCACTCATCACCCACACTCACTGCCCTTCTCACGCACAGCGTCCTCCCGCCCAGTGTGTTACCCCTACTCACTGTTCCTCCCCACCCCGAATCCTTCTGTCCCCCGCTGATCCCCCTCTTTCCACGCCCCCGCCTCCCGAAGCCCGCTGGAGCGCACAGCCGGCGGGCGACTACGCGATCTGACAGAGTAATGAATGACTTCAGCTGTAATTAGCGACCCCGCGGCTAATCACGACGTACATTTACATTTTAAGTGCTGCTGAGGGAGCTGGGAAGGAGGGGACGGGCAGGAGGGGCTGTGGGCCCTTTCAGAGCTCTACCCTGTGACTGGGGAGCGCGTCGGGTGAGAGTCTTCTACCGCGGACGCCAGGTGAGGAGGAGGGGAGGCCGTGGGGTAGGGCTAGAGGAACTCTGAACAGCCCCATCCTCACCCCATGCAAAGCCCAGAGCGTCCAGGCTCCTTTCTCCAAACTGCAGGCCCCTGTCTACACCTGGGCCTTGGGCCGGGGCTTGCATATCCCTGGGGACGGAGAGCTCAGCTCTCTGCAGCTTCTAACTCGGACATTCCGAAGGATCCTGCCATCTGGGGGCTTTTCTCAGGCTCAGTCGAAGCATTTGCCCTAAAAGTCCTACATCCACCCAGGCCATGGTTCCAGTCTCTGGTTCCCACACTCCACCACGCCCTACAGACAGCCTTAGCGTCCTCCCCAGGTTGCTGGGCTTCCTTGGGCGTTCCTCTTAGGGGTGCTGGGGCTTAGTTTAAGTCTAGGTTGGAAGGAGAAAGTGGTCCTGAGGGCCTCTGGTCTTGGGAGAAGACCTGCCATTTTCACAACAGTACACAGATGTCCCCTGACTCCAGCCACCCCATCCCCGTCCCCCACCCCCGGGGCAGTGATGGAGTCTGCCCTGGACTGGGAACATCTGAACTAAGTTACTAAATGCAGGAGGCCAGCGGTCCCTTCTCAAGCCTGGGGAAACAGTAGCACGTGGCCCTCCTACCACCCCACACCTATTGCAACTCAGTTGGTGCTCCACAGTCACTCCTCACTCCAGGTGGGCTCCCCCCGCTGTCCTAGTTCAGCCTGTGCTGGGAAGATAAAAGGATAAAGGACAATACTCTAGAGCACTCGGGAGCAGGTCCGGTTCCTTCTCAAACTCTATCCCCTAATAATCTAGACCTCTCTTTTTCACCTGATGAGAGACACTGAGTCACTCACTTGGCTAAAGAGACTTTCAGGATTTCCATTAACATCTTCATGACCTGAGACATGAAGAAAGCTCCACCTTTCCCTCTCCTCTCTCTCCAGACTGGCCCACATTCAGATTTCTCTTGGAGGGGGGGAAAGGACTTTTAGGGTGCAAGCCAGGTGGACTGACAATTCCACCTGTTAGGAATGAGAATCCACTTGAAGAAATGTATGCTATGAAAGTGCTCTCTCTAACATGGATAGGGAAACTACTTAACTTCCCCTCCAGAGAAAGCATCTCCTACTTATCTTCCCTATTCTCCGTAAGGAACTGCGTGATTCACGCCCCTCGCCCCAGCGGAATATGGAGGTTCACTCAGGTGTGGCGAGGCCGAGACCTCAGTGTCAAGCTGCCCCGCGACGTAGCGTTTCGAGGGGAGTAGCGGAGAGGAGCCGGAGTCTGCGCTTCCTGCACTCTGCTGACGGCGCAGAGACTGCCCTTGGCTCCGGAGCGGAATAGATGAGGGAGGTGAACCACAGGGGAATTGGAAGTGGTAGAAGCTCTCCCCTTCCACCACCGCGCAAGGCCGCTCAGTAATCTCGTTGGGAGGAGGTTAGGGGTGACCGCCAGTTCCAACAGGGTAAGCTTAGGGCTCAGCTGGCTTGAAGCAGCATTTGCATTGCAATTGGTTTTAATTTTGGTTATCTGTTGACGACTGTTGGCTCGGGGAGGGCTAATGGCCATTATAAGGGAACTTCTCTCCAATCACCCGCGGGTGCCGCCGCGGCACCCCACTCGCCACGCTCCTACGCCCCCGAAGCGGAGGGCCGCAGCTGAGTCGGAGAAGCCAGCGGAGCCGGGACTGGGAGGGGCGGACTCGGATTAGGGGCGGGGCAGGGGCGGAGCCTCCAAGGCCGCTAAAGGAGCGAGGCGCCCCGCGCTGACAGTGCATAGTGGAATAGCGCCCACCGCAGAGAAGCAGGGGCTGAGGGTCGCGCGTTCCCGGCCCGCGTGTCAACGTTTACCCCTCTCCTGAACCCTTACCGGCCCTTGTCGGGCTCTCCTGGCAGCGATGCAGCCCCGGGGCTGAAGCGGACCCATGGCGAAGCCCACGGCCCCGGCGACGACGGCGCATGGAGAACTTTCGTAAGGTGCACTCCGAGGAGGCGTCGGTGGGGAACGGGGCGGAGGGGGGCGGCCCGGACTCCGGCCCCTTTGCCGACCTGGCGCCGGGCGCCGTGCATATGAGGGTCAAGGAGGGGAGCAAGATCCGGAACCTGCTGGCCTTCGCCACCGCCAGCATGGCGCAGCCAGCCACGCGCGCCATCGTCTTTAGTGGCTGCGGTCGGGCCACCACCAAGACCGTCACGTGCGTTGAGATCCTCAAGCGCCGCCTGGCGGGCCTGCACCAGGTCACGCGGCTGCACTACCGGAGCGTGCGCGAGGTGTGGCAGAGCCCCCCGCCAGAGCCCACCCTGGGCCAGCCACCCGGGGAGCCGCCCGCCAGTCTCAGCGTGCTCAAGAATGTGCCCGGACTCGCCATCCTACTTTCCAAGGACGCGCTGGATCCGTGCCAACCAGGTTACCAGCCCCCGGACCCACATCCTAGCCCCCCGACCTTGTCAGCTGCACCGACGTCCAAGAGGATCCGAGGGGAATCTGCAACTGAAGGAGCCTCCGCAAAGCGCTTCCAACCTGAACCAGGGACAAGGAAGGAGGACTCAACCGCCTGAGAACTGCCGGCTCTCAGCCACCTGGACGGGCTGGAGCCTTTTCCTCTGCGCCACCACTTTCACACGCACCCCTAGCCTTTCAAACGTCGGTTCTCTAGAGCCCAACCTGGACACAACCTTTCAGGCTGGCACCATGGACCCCCTAAGGTGACATGAACAGGTCCAAGGAATAGCAACAGGAGAGTGTGGTGGGGTAGCTGCCTGTGCTGCCTGCAGATACACCTGACTCCACTTTGAGCTTTTCTGGGACATACTGTGACCCCTTCAAGGAGGGAGTGGTGAGCTTTGCTTGAGACCTGAAAGGTTAGAGGCACCTAGCATTTTTGGGGAGTCTGAGTCCATGAGCCCAGGAGAGTTCTTAGAGCCACTTCTCATTCTTGGTTCCGAAGACAGAGGGAAGAAACTGCTTGAGAGCAGAGTAAGGATTTGTGGGAATCTCCTATTTCCCTTAGAGTTTTCCTTCTGTTTCCAAGGAGCATCCTAAGATCATTGGGACACGGATGTTTCTCCATGGGCTCTGACTTTTAACACCCACCCTTCTCATGTTGGCCTGGAGGGAACATCCCAAGACAGACAAAATTCTCCATGCCTTCAACCCTGAGCCCCACAGCTGGAGTCTCTCTTTCAATAAAATAAACACAAAAATGCTACTGTCTTGACAATTTGGTTTTTTTTTATTTTCCTCCTACTCACTTGCCTTTCTAGAGCAGTTCTGATTTGCCCCTTATGTCTAGTCTTCCCCAGCCCCAAACCCCAGCCTCGCTATCCTTGACCTTAGGAGTCTTCAGGCTCAGGCACAGGGACCGGACGGCCTTAGAATGGTGGAAAGGGCACACTGCCCAGTCCCTGGCTAAATTCCCTCTCTCCTTCAGAGGCTTACAGCTGAAAAGAGGCCTGTATCCCCCGTGCATCACCACTAAGCAAAGGGAAAAGCACATTGCCTTTCTGGGAGAAATAAGGAGTGAGCTCTCCAGGGGGCCATTCACCAGAATGGCAGCCACTATAGGGTCTCTAGGTCTGCTGTCTTCTGCCAAACAACTGAGCCTTACCCAGAAGACTGACACAAAACACCCCATTGTCAAGAGCAGACTCTCCCCTTCAGTGCTTTCTCTCCCTGAGAAAGGACAGTACACCCTTGGGGGGGAGGGAAGAGAGATTGAGCACAAATCCACTGCTGGAAATTACTATTCAGCAGAGAAGCTGGGACTTGGACTGTGAATCACTGCAGGCTTCCTGATAAGCTGCCGCCTCCAGCCCGGCACAGCTGACTGCTGAGAGATAACAGTTTCTCTGCCCAAAACCAAGTCAGTTGCAGAAGGGGTGGGGGGAGGTGGGGCTTGGTTTTTGAAGGAGTTCAAGCAAGGAAAGAGGTGTCATATAAACCCAGGATCTCATAGGCAGACCCTACCTCATGCAATTCAGCAGTCCTCTGAAAAAAAGGAGATGAGGAAGAAGGTATTTATAAGTCACTTTGCAGGGAGAAAAACCTTTAAATAAATGGCTCTGCTGGTGACAATAGGTAGGTTCTGGAGCTGACCAGGAGGAGCGCTTCAGAGAGTCACCCCTCCCCTTTTCCAGTACCTCTGCTTGAGCTTTAAACCGGAAGCCCTGTCATTGTCCAGATCTTGGCACTGGTTACCCTCTACAAATTCTTGCTTTAGTTGAGTCCCTGGGAAGGTGTTTGTCTGACCCCTCTCAGAAGTGCCCAGAAACTATGGGCAGGATGTAAGATTATTCCAACAACTGAGGGACCCTGGACTTAAGCATATACAATAAATAAATGACAAAACTTGGAAGAGATCCTGTGGGGTAGAAGCTTAATGAAGATCGGTTTGGGTTCTGGGAAATGGTCAATCTTCCAGGCCCGCTTGTGGTCATAAGTATTGAGTGCTGTCACCAGGGATGTGCAAACAAGAGACCACCACTGCTGTGCCACCGAGGGAAGGTTGTGGGAGCTATTTTCATAGGCGGTTGGGTCAAGTGAGTCTCCTAGCCTAGAAACATCTTGAGAACAGAGTGAGTGGAACACATTTCTTAGCTTCATGACATCAGCTTGCCCCAGTTGTGCAACTCTTGGTGGTGCAACAGTTAAGCACTTGGCTGCTAGCCAAAACAATAAGTGGTTTAAACTCACCCAGCTGCTCTGCAAGAGAAAGGCTTGGCAATTGGCTCTCATAAAAATTACAAGCCAAAAAATCCCCATGTTGCTATGAATTACAATTGACTCAGCAGCACCTAACAACAATGGCAATCTGGTAGTGCAGTAGTTTAGCACTTGTCTGCTAATTGAAAGGTAGATGATTTGAACCCATCAACCACTCTGCAGGAAAAAGATCTGGCAGGCTGTTTCTGCACAGAGCAGAGCCTTGGAAACCTGCATCCATTCTACACTACCCTGTAAGGTTTCTATAAATTGGAGTCTACTGTTTAGTGGTAAGGATTTGCACTGCCAACTCAAAGGAAATGGCTGAATCCACCAGCCATCCACCCTACAAGGAAAAGATGGCCAATCTACTCCTATACTATTTACTGCCTCTGAAAACCAGCCGGACAGTCCACTATGGGTGGGTGCCAACTTCAGGGTACACAACAACGTCAAGAGGTATTGGTACAACATGGTGCAATGAGTTTTGCCTCTCATGCCAGAAAGCAGATCAAGAATCTGCCTTTCCTTTCTACACCCCTCAGCATGACTGTTTCCCAGGCTCCTAAAAGGCATGCTGATCACCATTGTTATTGCTGTTGTTAGTCAAGTACGACCCTATGAACAACAGATATGAACCTTGTCCTACTCTGTGCCATCTTCACAATCTCTGACAATCTCAAGCCTGTTGCTGCAGTCACAGTGTCAATCCACCTGGTTGTGGGTCCTTCCTCTCTTTCACTGACCCTCCACCTTCCCAAGTCCAGGGAATGTCCTGTCCTTGGGAATAACCTCTCCTAGAAACATGCTCAAAGTATGTGAGATGAAGTTTACCACAAGATCACCATTAGGTCCTAACATCTGGGAGCTCCTCCCCCTTGCCATCGTAATTCTCTGACCCTGCTGCCCCTAGAAGCAAACTTCCAAGGAAAGCACCAGGTGTTTCTTTCTATCCCAACTCTCATGGCTGGAGCAGGAAGTGAATAAGTCTTGAGAAGGCCTTAGAACATAGAAGCCATGGTTAGGGGGACACTTCATAGATAAGACCCCCTTCAGGAGATGACTAATGAGTAATGAGCAGGAGTAGGAATCTCCTTCTTCTAAGATTCCATCTTTCTGTTACTGACTCTAAGCCTCCATAGGTCTTCCATTTTCGTCTACTTAGCTCAACCTAGTCTTACCTGGACCCAGCCTTGGGGACCCTTCCAGGCTAGAAGTTAGCAATGAAGGCTTACACCCAGAAAACTGTTAGATCACTAAGTCAAGAGGTTACCCTATTTGCCAACATGTAATTTAAGGCCAGAACTATAATCAGGACCTTCAGCTGGGCCTTGAAAAGCATTATCCATTCAACAAGAACTCATTGTTCTTCTGCTAGACCTAGACAGAGGGCGAGGATAAAATCAGAATAATTAGACATGGTTCTTACCTCAAGGAGGACCCAGCCTAGTGAGGTTAAATAGAACTGATAGCACAATGTTATAAAAATAGAAGTTGGTGCCCTGAGAAGGTAACGTCACTAGAAATGCTGATGAATAAAACTGGTTCTCTAAGGACCAGAAGGAGTTAGCTGGTGTCCAAAGAGCAACGGCAGTGTGGGGACAGCCATATCTGACCTCTACAAACTCCACAAAGGGGAACTGTCCCCATTAACACCATCTACAACACAAAACAAATTCCCATGAGGTCAAATATGTCTCACACGATCCCGTACTTCTTTCTACTAATTTCAGTACCAACCTTACTGCTCCACTAGGTCCAAAATCTATTGCAATAACACACAGAACCACACTTATGATTATTAGGTATATTGTTATTGTTGTTGTTGTTGTTGTTATGTGTCATTGAGTCGCTTGTGACTCATAGCAACCCTATGTACAAGAGCCCTAAACCCTGCTCTATACCGTGCCAACCTCACTGTCTCTGACACTCCTACTCCCATTACCTCAATCATTGAATCAATCCATCTCATCGAGGGTCTTCCTCTCCTGTGCTCTCCCTCCACCCTCCCAAACATGATGTCCCTCTCCAAGGACCGGTCCTTCCTTGTACTATGTCCAAAGTATATCAGAGAAAGCTTCAGAATCCTTGCCTCCAAGGAACAGATCAGTTTCACCTTCTCAGGATGAACCTATTTGTTCTCCTAGCAGTCCATGGTATAGTCACCACTCTGCTCCAGGACCGCAGCTCAAAGACATCAATTCTCTTTCTATCATCCCTAGTCACTGTCCAGCTCTCTGATGCATAGCATGCAATTGTGAAGACTATGGCCCAGATCAGGTGCACCTTAGTTTCCATCCTGATGTCATTGCTCTTCAGTACTCTGGATAGGTTCCTGACAACTGACTTTCCTAGTGCAATTCATCTCTTGATTTCCTGGCTACTGTCACCAAGGGTGTTGATTGTAGGACTATTAGGGAAGTCAAAATGCGATAATTCAGTTTGGTAGCAGAGACAATCACTCATTCGGGCCAGCTTCTGAAATGTGCTTGTAGGCACCTCAGCCTTTAGCCTTGCAGCTTTAGGCCAGTGTTACAAAGCTTGTAGTCCCAGTCCCAAGGTCAGCTCTGTCTCATATTGTGTCTCTGATTCCCTACTGCAGTTGCTACTGCTCTCTTGTAGGTTTTGCTGGTGCAAGACTCTCTGGCCCTGAAGGACACCCTGCATTCTCTTGCATCTTTGCTGGTGGTGAGATTTAAAAAATCTGCCTCTGAATATTACCCAATTTAGTAACAAGGCTAGCCAATCCCACTATGGCCAGGCTAAGACACCCTATTCACATACTCCCACTCATCTACATGGCAAAGTCAAAGTCAATGACTAGGAAAACCGTTCTAAACAATAAATCCTTAACACC